TAGTTTATGCCCTCTGCTTAACTTAACATGTTATGTGCCTCAACAGGCGAACACTGGAGTTCGCGCGCGTCAAACCGCGTCGTCGCTAATTGCAGCACGCGCGACGTCGGTCAAACTATGCTATATGTAACAGCATATATGACTAGCTCTCAATATATGCGTAGCGATATGGCACCAAATTTTGTAAGCGAACGGAGAGAGGCTAGTGGAAACAAAGTTTGAAAAATTATGAAAAACTTATGTGAAGGGAACGAGTAATAAGCATTTTTTCCGAGAATTTCGCAAAACTGGTAAATGAAAATGTGAATTTAAACGGCTCGTTTGGAAAGCGCAGATGAACGATATGGTATGAAACTTGGTAAGTACATGCACACGGGCTTGCAGGACCTAACTGAGGAGTTTCATTGAGAAACTATGTGACTGAAGGTTGTGGCAAACTTTTTTATGAAAATTTCCCGCTACCAAAGAAACGGAAAAATGGCTCGTTTGCAACGCAGAGGTGACGCAATCGCGCGGGATTTGGTGTGTGAATGCGCTGTAGGACTAAGTAACAAAGTATGAAAGATCATGAAAATCTCATCTGAATGAAGTGCGTGTTCAACTTTTTTCCAAATTAGGTTGTCATTTGACAACCTAATGACAACCTGAGGTTGTCAAAACTTTCAGTTCACATAATTTTTTCAAAATTTCTACATGAATCTACTCTACACCTAACGTTAGTATATATTGAGATTTTGGTTTCAAACCTCCTTCTCTCCTCATTGCTAGAGCCAAAACCTTCAGCAGCTCCGTGTCTTGAGAGAAAGAGCGCTCCCATCGATAATAGCGTTGGGTCCTATAATCGGCGTTTTTTTAGTTTTCCTACCATTTTCGTGTCAGATTCCATCTAAATGAGTAGAAGGTAAGTTTCTTGTTTTATTTGATTGTGCTTATCCCAATTTACATGACTTTTACACTTTTTACATAGCAATTTGTATGATGTTTACAATTTTCGCCGCTTTACACTTCTCTTTTCCAGTTTTCTCACCGTTTTTTTCACATCGCGCCAAATTGAAAAGAAGTGAGTGTGTTGTTTCATTTACTTGTGTATGGTGCTTTTTGCGTTCATTTTATGCTGTTTACTTACCATTTGTATAATTTGACTCTTTTCGCTGCCTTTGACTACTTTTTTCGAGTTTTCTCACCGTTTTTTTTTCAGTTCTCCCCAAAAGGAATAAAGGTGAGTCTGTTGTTTTATTTATATGTGTATGATGCAACTTGCATGCATTTCATGCTGTTTTGAATGTTGCTATGACGCCTAGCTCTCCCTCAGGGGCATGTGCGTTGTCAAACCTTTCTTTTTGAATTTGTGCTTGTTGTGCAACCTAAATATGTTTATTTATGTCACATTTATATTGTGCATGAACAGCGCTGCTCTTCCAGTGTTTTTGACTTTTACTCGTTGTATTGTGACATAGCCATGGTGGATGAAATGAGATGAGTTTTTCTTCTCATTTTCAAGTGTTTTGCGTTTTTCATCACTTCTACTCTTTCTTTCTTGTACCTATCTCTTACCTTCATTTTTTACTGCGTCATAATCATCTCCGTTTTTGTCGTTGACAGGGTTACGCATCATTTACTCATCTACTTTCTGAGTAAGAGAGTTATATGATGAGGCGAGCTTTGAAGCGGCGCTGCTCTTTCTTCCTCACCGTCCTTTCCTACATCTTTTATTAAAAGTCCGTCCTATTGCACTACACTCAGAGTATAGGGCATTTTCAAGGTTTTCGTGCATGAAATCATCACAACGTCTCGGATTTGGTAAAGGCAGCCACTGCGCTGCTGCCATTGCGGCGGCGAGCGTCTTTGCCGTTTTTTTCTTCAATAATAAGTTCTATGGGCAAAGTGTTCGCCGCGCAATCACTGGGATTAGTTTTTGAGTCGAAGGGGTATTCGTAACAAAATTTTGGGGTCAAAGGAAAATTCGTTTTCGAAAACCCCTTTTGACAACCTCGTGCCGGGCCCTGTTGAGAGCTTTTGAGTGAGCCTGGCCTGGGCCTTACACTTATGAAAGAAGACGAATCAAGCTCAAATTACTTCTGCCTGTACTACGAGATCTGGGCTATTGAACCATATTTGAAATATCTGCCAAAAATCTGTTTGAAAATAAGATAATGGGGTGTGGCGTAACCTCTCAAAAGGTGTGGGTGCCACCCTTTTGAAGGGTTGTGCCTTCCTTTCTTCACAATAGAAGTTTTTCCCCCGAATTGTTTCTTCTATAGATGATATAGTCGTTTTTTCCAATTCTATGTAGACGATTATTGAGTTACGGGAAGTGTGCTAGATCTGTGCTGCTGCGTATATTGTGATACCTTCGTTAATCTAGAGATAGGGCGCAAAAGTGAAGGTTGTTCTAGTATCTGCCCCCCCCCCCCCCCATAAATAGTGAAAGTTATTTATAGGAAATCAAAGAAGAGAAAATGTTGCAAAACAATTAGCGGAATCAGAAGCGTTCAAAAACCTGATAGAACGCCGCAACCAGTCTAAATTTTTTCGTTTGGCGGCTCGAATTGCAGGTTTTCGTTACAGGACGAGGCAATCCACAGCACGGGGGAAAGAGAGGGAAAGCTAGTCTCTTAGTTGTGATTGTTCTAAAAATAAACATATTTTGGAAAGTAGTGACTATCAAGAAGAAAATAAACGAAAAACATTCAGTTATGAAAACGTAAATTTTTGTTTTTTCTATATCGAAATGCACGTCAAAGACAACTTATTAATGCGTTTTCTGGACTTTTTGCCCCTTCTCGTATTTTCGTCGACTTTGTTAGCTTTGTTTTGCTCATAATCCTGAGCAAAATGTCCCTAATGGTAAGAGATGATTGCCTACTAACCCAATAAAGGCCTGTGAACAAAAACGCATTTTTTACAGCTTTGTGGTAAACATTTTACCATAATCGAAGCCGCGACGTTGTCTACATTATGAACGGAAGCAAGATCTGTGGAATACACAAAATTTGCTTGAAAAGAAGCTGAATCGAAGAAAAATAAGGAGTTTTTAAAAACACGGTTTTTGCCATATTTCTCGTTCAAAGTAGAAAATAGAGTTCCACGACATTGCCAGTGTGAAAGTAGAGATCAAGAGCTACAATGTGATACACAGTTTGCCAGGATTAGATTGAAAAAAAACGAAGAAGAGGGGAGAGCCAAATGCCCCGCGACCCGCGTTTGGGGTAGCGAGGTAGCGCGCAATGCGCGGAGATGCAGACGAGCAGCGGAGATAAACCAGAGCCAATGGAGCATTTGACTGGTCTTAGATCTTGACGGGGGGGGGGTCTTCGTCCATAATTCTTCTAAATCAAGGTTAATTGCGCACGCGTGGATACCACCGTAAGAACTCAAACAGTGTTTACGATCAAAGGTAAGGTCATTTGATTACCTTGTAGAATAATAATTATACGTTGGGTGGAGAAGGATGTGTGGCATGACACACGATTGCCAGATACCATGCCCCTAGGTTTTGTCTCAATAAGGGCCGCTGAATATTGCATATCTAACATTGGCATAAAATAGAAGTCTCCTAACAAGCATAATGAGAAACATATTTAATTGGACCGTCAAATAACCCCGTGGACCAAGTTTAAGCAAATTTCGAGGTTTCCGAATATTGGGCCGCTATGAAATAGTCATATTTAAACATAATTACCCTAAAATCCGGCATTTCCGCCTTTTTGACACGAAAAATCGATGAAAAATCGCCCTCTGCGCTGCCAAGAGACTTGCAGATAAATCCTTCCATCAGACCGCAGCAGATAAGTCCGCCTATCCTGAGCACGAGCAAGCACGACCTAAGAGCATAGACGCGCGCGACCGCCGGCGTAGCTTGCCGTTGTAGATTTAAATAAGACCGCGATATCGCCTGAAAGAAAGAGCCAAAAGATTCGACAGGTCGTACAGACTACTTGCTGACAGTATCGTCGCGGATTCATCTCGCATACGCTGGATAGGTGAGTTCTTTTCCTAGATATGACAGTGCTTGTACATATGAAATATTTCTGCCGGTAAAATCATACTAAGTTTCATCATTGTATCATTGTAAACATCTCATCTTATCATTCATCTTATCGTTTGGAAGCGACAAGATTTTCAGTACATTTCTCGAACCTGTACAGGCTACAACTTTGAACCTGGCTGTCTATACTTTTTGCTTCCTCTATTGTTTACATGGTCTGAAACGAGTCTCTGTTGACCCACGCTATACGACTTTTGTCAAATTTATTGAACGGAAGAGTGATAGTCTGAGAATGCTCAACCCTAGCAAAGCATTAGGCTTCTTTGTTCTTTTTCTCAATTGTTGTTTCATTGAGCCTGTACATCCAAGACAAAAGACAGTGTAGTCAAATTTGATGCCGCCTGCTTTCTCTTGTAAAAGAGTAAACCTTTCGATGATCAGCGGGACTTATCTGCAAAGCTCTTGGCGGCGCGAGGGTGCATTTTCATCGACTTTCCTTGTCAAAAAGCGGACTTATCTGCTGCGGACTTACCTGAGGACTGGACTTATCTGATGGGAGGACTTATATGCCGGATATCAGGGTAAGTTTGTTTCATAGGTGAGATAGGTGAGTCAACTACTTTCCTTTGCATTTATTGCAAAGCACTACTCACTGTGGTCGTTTTGAAAAACCCCATTCTAAATAACCACTAAACTATCGAGTAAGGAGCAATCATGATCTTGTTTGTTCCTTTTACCGCTTTTATTGTCTGTGCTTTCAGCAACTATTGCTTACAATCACTGAAGAAAGATGAATCGGGTTGAAATCATTCCTGACAACACTGATGCTCTATTCTTTGGGTGCACCATTACTTTTGGATCACCCTAATATGAACTGGATCCGAAAGGCAAGGGTTATGAAGGAAATCCGAAATATCTCCTTGAAGATCTCGCTGTATGGGGATGTTGGTTTACGCGGAGAAAATTCGCAACAATTAGAAATGTGTTCAGACACACACGCACAATTAACTACGCTTTATTAGTACACACAACAGGAGGCGCATGGGAGATCAGTTGACGGAGAGCATTGATGTATGGACCAAAGAATACAATCTGAAACTTGCAATAGTGAAAGCGACGGCAAAAAAATACGTAGATAAACATAGAAAAAGAAAAGCAACTTACCAAACAATACTCCTCCTAAATTTTGGCTTTAAATTTTGAAGCAGCTGATGAAGGTAGGCGTTTTGTCCTCCGAAAGATAATTGGTCGCGACGTGATCTTGGAAAAAAGCTCGTATATAAGCAGAAGATTCATTTAAAAGGGTACCTTGGCGATCCGTAGAAGTAATTTTCGAGATTACCGTACTCGGGTGGTATATCGTTCTCTTCATGTGCTAATGATTGACACAAGGCCACCAGCACCGCAACTACCAAGATCACAAGTGTTGCCCGAAGTGACATCTATGTTGAAAGAAAATTGTGTAAGCTTTGATAACGTTAACTACAAGTTACGACGGTAATTTGAAAGAACCTATAAAGTATAAAAGTTAAGCTTATCCTATCAAACATCTCCTTAATCTCCGGAAAAGATCTGAGGAATTTATCGCAAAGCGCACGCCAGCCAGCGGAAGTCTCTAACAACTTTGGCGGCTCGATTGTGCTATGTTCTAGGCTTAGACAGAAGTCTAGTCAACTGTTCAAATCTTTTTCTGCGGCGAGATGGTTGTTAGGTTAATCTGAATGTTCTATAGTTAACGGGCTCTGAAGAAGGTGACTAAGCCGAAACATTAGCCGAATAAGCGCTTCAATCTTGGTGCTGGGCAGTTACGCAAACATATATAGCCAAGCCAAGATTTATGAGTCGAACATGGAACAACTTAACACTGAGATAAGAACTGGGATGTAGAGGCGAAATGGATTGACTTGTTTCATGTTATATCATTATGTGACAACCATGATCTTCCTCACTGAAGGGGAAAGAAACATGCTTTCGCCTTTACTTCATTTCTGTGAAAAAATAGACAAATAACTAGCATATTTCGTTTTGGACAGAGATTGGGAGAAGGATAGAGAAGTCAGCAATCGTTCTGGAGACTTTGAAGTGCATTAGAGTATATTATTAGTGCTGGAAAATTCCGATACAAATACGCGTAAACAGTGGCAAAACGAGGGGGGTACTAAATGGTGTGATCACGGTTGGTAAATGGAAGCCCTTCCATTTTTTTTATTCTACATACACACGGCGTATACACTGCAGATGATTTCCCGTTTTTTAAGTTCATTGATACTGCGGACTTTGCCCTGCATATTGTAGAACGTGAGAATACGCACAACATGCTTAGGAAGCAGTGTCTGTGAGAAAAACTTCTAAAAAAGGTCCATTTTAGAAGAATTTTGAATCTTGAAACGAGCATGAAATGCTCTAAAAGGTGTATAATCAGTCAGCAATTAAGAGCAACAGCAGCAGCATCACAAAGCAATTTCTGAAGCCTTTTTCCGAAAAATTTGGTGTTATTGAAGAAGAGTATGTAAGAGAGCTATAATAATGATTACGCTAATTAGTTATGTTTCGTATCCTAGCTTCCTAAACCATATCTTCCGAGCAATTTTATATATGGGGACAGAGCATTAGGATTCTAAAGAGATGAAAATTCATTCATTTATCTGGTGAAATATGTTTGGAGGCTCATCTCGCGTCGACTCCAACTCGTATTGCCATTCCTTTTCCAATGGCAAATAAGTGATCACATAAAATAGATTCACAGAAAATTCGGAATGATCACTGAGCTGAAGCATATTCCATATTTGGGACCCGCCTCGTAAATGCATTAGTCATGTAGTTCTTGTGTTGTTCATAGTAAAAACCAATCATTCACATTTGTGAAATTAAATGCTTCCACAAGCGGCATTTCACCATAAGTAGTAAGCTGTAAAGCAGCAAAAAATACGCCCCAGAGAAATGAAGAAAAGCATTGATTGCTTTTGATATACGCTCACGCAAACCACATTCACACGTTCATTTACTGGCTTTCGATACGAAGTGGCTAATGACGATACTGAAAAAAAGCATGAACATATTTACCGAGGTGGTAGGATGTGCTCCATAACGACCATATTCGGGTGTCAGCGCCCCCCGGTAAACTAGCTGACTTGTCGAAATTGAAATTTCTAGAGGAGGTAAGACCAAACTATAGACTATCAAATCGTATCAGATGAACTCTTTTCAAGGAGAAGTGGTCTGGATTGTGAAGCTGGATTTTAGTGAGACGAAAGCTGTGAGGAAAATTTTCTATTGGTAGAATAATTTTCTATTGGTATTCCTATTATATGATAACGATTGAAAATTTGAAATAAGGCTAGTTGCTGTTTCGCGGAAAAACTAAAGCAATTCAAAGCAAGTGGTTTGCCATTTATCGATGTACAAATCCAGATGAGGTGCAATGTTCTAGACTAGAACTATTGAGAGATTCTTATACAAGTATCTCAGTACGGCTAGTGCTAACACTAAGTTAAGCAACTTGAGGGCACTTTCTTACTTATGACCAAACATAGAGATGAAGCATTTTGCCAAAAGCTTAAACTGTTCGGGCAGTCACACTTATTATAGCAGATTCCCCTTTTTTTAGCAAAACCTCATTCAAATTCCCGGTGCTTATTCAAAATTTTGCTACTCATTTATCTGCCTTAATATAACTTCAGCGGGGGATCAACAAAGTATGATAATAAAGTAAGTGAAGTAGTCAAGCTTCAGTCAGTAAAGTAAACTGTGCCTTATATAATGAAAATCTCCAAGCTACAAATTACGTAAATCTCAGCACAATCTCTATCAACTTTTTTCTAATTTCGATTAACTTTCAATTAATGAGCTCTTGTGAAAAAAGATTTTGCTAAAGCGGCCGAGCTTCAACAGAATTTTGTTGAATAGCATACGTAAGCCATTGCGTTGATAGTCTATGTTCTAATGAAGTGCAAATAGATTAGAGCGAGAAGATTTGGGAGAATTACAGAAAATGTGATTCTTAATGCTTGCGATAGATATGTTGGAGGTTTGCTAAGACATTACTTGCATAGAACTTGATTCGCTTAGAGAATTTTTTATGAGTTCGATGCTTCAGCCAGCACGACAGCATGTAACACCAAACTTTTATTGTCCTCTCTTCATTTGCTCATGGACACACTATTTTATCTGAGCATGGTCAATTATTCATATAGGCTTGAGATTTGATGAAATAGCGTCCGTGCTCGAGCAGTTTTCACACTTCATAGTAATCAGATTCCCAAAAGAGGAAACACTAGTTGCACCAATGAATATTAAAGCATTTCACCAAAAGCAGCACAACGCTGATTTCGCATCTAACGAATCTGTATGAAGCTATAAGCATTCAAATGTGGATCCAGTGTAGTCGTAATGGATGACGTGCTCCAAACTTCAGCTTGAAGTATCGCAAATGAAATGCTGTTGAATACATTGAGTGTAAAAAGAAGCCAGTTCAGAAGAAGCATCAGTAAGTGCTAAATGTTGGTTCACGAACTTACATAATTTTTTAGAAATTTGACGTCATAACTTTTTTTTTGAAGAAATATTTAGGAGAACGAGAGCAATTCTGAAATTAGCTAATCCAGACCATCTAATAATATGCATTTCATACCAGATCAGCAAAGAATTGGCACCCTGCCCTGGTTAAAAAACTGAGAACTACAAGTGCGCACTTTAAGGAGTGTCGCGCTCCGCAAATATATTAATTGCCCATCTTTTCGTGTTCAACAACTATCTTTCAAAGTAATGTGGTCGTAACAGTTCCTTCTTTGACATTTCGTGTATAAGTGCAAAGAAGCCAAGAGAGAAACAAAAACTGAAGAGATGTCTACAAATGAGGGTGGCAAGAGTGCTGATTGAGATAACAGATGATGACGTGACTCACAACCGTTTTATTATTAATGGGCAGAGTTGAAAGGACAGCTTTGTCCCTCCAAGCTCGGTTTGAAACAAACATATATGCATTCTGCTGAATTCTAACATTCAGGCGAAAACTTGTAACTCAGTTGGCACAAAAAGATATTAGAATCTCCTCAATTATGCTTGTAAAACAGCTTTTGGTTCAATCGCTGTCATAATCTGATAGTCCGATTTCACGGAAAATTTCTCTTAGCGAAGAGGAATAGTCGTTTTTTATTAGAAAGTACAGGGTGTCCCAAAAAAATGTGAACACTGTTTGATTGTTAATAACTCCCTTGCTTTCATGTCTTTCGCCGAGCTTGAGGCACCATTTTATAGAGCGAGGTTCAACTTAGATCTGCAGTATGGAGCGAATTGTCGATCGCTCTTCATTACTGAAGGATTACGGTAGGAACTTCGACAAGGATTTTAAGTCATTAGGGGCCATATTCTCCTCGAAACAAAACCAAACAAGCCAAACCCTTATACCATGGTAATGGAAGCCGCTGATTTCGAATATGAAATTTCCACTTAATTATGATGCTTCTTTCCAACGTTATCCCAAGTAAATCGTAATAACTGAATTTCCAGCATTTGTCAGAAAGGTGATTACGCCGTCAAAAAAGCCGAAAACACTCGTAAAAAGTTGTGTAATGGAATCAGCGTGCAAGAAAACCCTAGTACACAATTTTTCAGATTTTTTGAAAAAAAATTTTGTCAAATGGCATATTTCACAATAAATCCACATGTTAGAAGTTCATACCGTGATCCTACAGTAACGAACAGCGACCGGTGATTCGCTCCATACTACAAATCTAAGTTAAACCTCGCTCTACAGAATGGTGCCTAAAGCTCGGCGAAAGACATGAAAACAACTGAGTTATCAAAGATCAAACAGTGTTCACATTTTCTTGGGACACCCTGTATAATGGTATTTAATTCGACAAATGCGCGCCCGCCAAAACATCGCGTTAGTAAAGAAGTGATACCAAAAAAGCAATGCTGGAAGCCCTACCTTGAATATGAACTATGATAGCCTAAAGCCCATCTACAGCTTGAATTTTGCTTTCATAATGAAAGAAAGACTAAGCATTAAGGTCTAAATGCCAGTACCAGGCCACAAAAAGATAGAGGAAAATTTGCAGAGAAATTAGAAGAAAGCATAAGAAGGCAAGTTACTTCAGAATCAAATTTTGTACATTACTTTGATGGATAGGGACGAGGGCCCAGTGGTATGAGGCGCCGCCCCGCCTGTGGGCCAACCAAGCCCCCTCCACCCTCCGCGGAAGTGTAGATGGTACCAAAGTTCTCAAAGAATGAGGATTGAAAGCACTGACTTGGTAAGCGGCTGGCCCTTTCAAGTTACTTAAAAAGCCTGCAGGCTTTTACTAGCTTTCACTGTTAAGTATAATGCGTTCGGCGCATTTTTAGAGGGTATTGAAGATGCTGAGGCTTTTATCCTTTACCGTGATGGAAAAGGCACAAAAAATCACGGCTATTATGAAAGGCAGTAGAATTCACGTCATTAAATGAGAAAAACA